TTTTTAGAATGGAAACTTAAAATAAATGGGGAAGATAGTGAATTTAAGACCCTTATTCCTCATACCTCCAGCTGATGTAATATCTTTTAAGGTGGGTGCTGACGAACCTGTAGATAATATTTTATATGTAATCGTTGTGGTCATCTGTAGATATAAAAGAGAAAGTAATTTAACTTTGCTATATAATTCCTCAAAAACATATAAAATTGTATTAATGAAATTATCCACTTTAAGTCATTCACTCTGAAAATACTTAGCCCGATTCAGTCCTCCACTCTGAAAATACATAGCCCCGTTCAGTTATCCACACTGACAATACTTAGCCTCATTCAGTTATTCACTCTGCCAATACTTAGCCCCATTCAGTAATTCTTTGTGACAAAACTTAGACCCATTCAGTTATTCACTCTGACAATACATAGCCCCATTCAGTCATTCTCTCTGACAATGCTTAGCCCCATTCAATAATTGACTCTGACAACACTTAGCCCAATTCAGTAATTGACTCTGACAATACTCAGCCCCATTCAGTCATTCACTCTGACAATACTCAGCCCCATTCAGTCATTCACTCTGACAATACTCAGCCCCATTCAGTCATTCACTCTGACAATGCTTAGCCCCATTCAGTCATTCACTCAGACAATGCTCAGCCCCATTCAGTCATTCACTCTGACAATGCTTAGCCCCATTCAGTCATTCACTCTGACAATGCTTAGCCGCATTCAGTCACTCACTCTGACATTAATTAGCCCCATTCAGTCATTCACTCTGACAATGCTTAGCCCCATTCAGTCATTCACTCTGACAATGCTTAGCCGCATTCAGTCACTCACTCTGACATTAATTAGCCCCATTCAGTCATTCACTCTGACAATACTCAGCCCCATTCAGTCACTCACTCTGACAATGCTTAGCCGCATTCAGTCACTCACTCTGCCATTAATTAGCCCCATTCAGTCATTCACTCTGACAATACTCAGCCCCATTCAGTCATTCACTCTGACAATGCTTAGCCCCATTCAGTCATTCACTCTGACAATGCTTAGTAGCATTCAGTCACTCACTCTGACATTAATTAGCCCCATTCAGTCATTCACTCTGACAATGCTTAGCCCCATTCTGTCATTCACTCTGACAATACTCAGCCCCATTCTGTCATTCACTCTGAAAATACTTCTTGTGATCAGGAAAAATGTGGAGTTCGCATGAATTGACCCCCTACAAAGGTAAACTTTCTTTTGACGTCACGGATGAAATGGTTCGACAGGTGAGACATTTATTTTTATTATGTCTATTTAATTTTTTAATAGAAAATCCACAGGAGAAATCATTTATTTTTTACATTTTTTTTGGTCGACATTTTCTCTTCTACTGTTCATAAAGCAAACGAGGTTGTAGTCAATGTTCATCGGGAAGAAGCAATTTATTGTTACATATTTTGTTGTCGTTGTTTCCACAGAATTACACGGCGTTAAGGATATTTCAGACAGCAGACGATTTCTTTAAGTCTCTAGGAATGATACCAATGCCAGAAACATTCTGGAACAAATCCCTTTTCGAGAAACCTATAGATGGCCGCAAAATTGTGTGTACTGCATCGGCCTTAGACTTTTTTAACGGGAGAGATTTCAGGTAACGGTAGAATAATTTAAGGTTAAGTTTTAAGAATAAAAATAAGTTTAAACATTTTAAAGATTTAAATTAAACACATTTAAAGATTAAAAGATGTTCAAGATAATTGCTAATTTCTTGATTAAGATCGGGGGTTTCAAACTCGTGGCCTACGGGCATTTTGCTGCCCACAAGACGATAGTTTGTGGCCCGCGACATGAAAGCAAATTTAGTGTTAATTCGGTCCGCGCGTTTTCCAAATTCTCATATCTATAACGTGACTCTCCGCGACGGTTTCAGTCGAATACCACCGACTAGTCTAAGTCTGATTTTTGTTTGTAAAAATATGGATGTTGATTATTATGGTACAATCCGTCTTAAAATAGGACTTACAGTTTTTAAGATTTTATATGACAAACTTGGCCAAAATGCGGTCTTGAGAAAACACACATATATATTATATATACATATTTCAAAATATTTTAAAGTCAGTAAGTGGGTAATGAGCAACCATAATTGTGTGAATCGTAGCAATCTGACACAGCATCAAAGAACCCCTACGCTCTTGTATAAAATACAAAGAGTACAGAAAAATGCGGCTCGCATTGTTCTTTGCAAAAGCAAATTCGACCTTGCTAAAACACTTCTGAGAGAGCTGCACTGGCTGCCGGTCCGTGCTCGCATAGAGTACAAAATTGCAACTTTGTGTTACCCCTGCTTACTTCACCGTGTGCCATCCTATCTCAAAGCACTCATGACGCCTTATGTACCCACTAGAGAGCTCCGCTCATCCGATAGTGGCAAAATATCGATACCGTGTTTTCGCCTTGAGACTTACTGAAAGCTCACTTTTGCATTTGCCGGCAAAAAAAATTTGGAACGCCCTTCCAGTCGTTCTCAGAAGCAGCCAGACACTGGAGTCTTTCAAAATGATTTAAAAACACATCTATTTAGCAAACACCTTCTGGGGTGATGCTATCTAACCATATTTTTCAGTTAATGTATATTTGCTTGTGTTACTTATGTTTTAAACGGGATGAAAGTCTTTGACTTGGTATGCTCGTATGTAAATTTATATTGTTGCGTCTGTTTTTTAAATGTGGTAAATGTTAGATTGTTTTTATTTCTCTTTTTAATATGGATGACTTTGTACCGCGCTTCGAGCTTTTGGGGATGAAGCGTTTTTTTCAAACAAACTTTATTATTATTATTATTATTATTAAAATTGCCACTAATGTTTATGAGTGATGAAAATTCTGAACCTTTCAGCTTGGTCACCTGCGCTGTCAAGTAACTGGCAACAAGCTACAGGAGGAAGAAAGTGAAGCCTAGTTTTTGAGAACTCTTAATAATTTTTATTGTTATTTCTAAAGTTTGAGCAAATTGTAACAGTTGTACTTTATTTAATTTGTAATCTCTTTTTTGTGTAACTCTTAATACGGCCCAGTCCAACCCAGGCTAAGCCTCCTGCGGCCCAGTCTCACTCAGACTCTGCCTCCTGCGACCCAGTCTCACTCAGACCTTGCATCCTGCGGCAACCGGATGATTTGAGCTTGAGACCCCCTATTTAGATTAGTCTAGTCCTAATTTATTATCTTAACAATTGATTAAATCTAATCATTAGGACATCATAACTATTATTTCTAATTTCTTATTTCTGCCTCCTGCGACCCAGTCTCACTCAGACTCTGCCTCCTGCGACCCAGTCTCACTCAGACTCTGCCTCCTGCGACCCAGTCTCACTCAGACTCTGCCTCCTGCGACCCAGTCTCACTCAGACTCTGCCACCTGCGACCCAGTCTCACTCAGACTCTGCATCCAGCGGCACCCGGATGATTTGAGTTTAAGACTCCTATTTTAGATTCATCTAGTCCTAATGTATTATCTTAACAATTGATTAAATCTAATCATTAGGACATCATAACTATTATTTCTAATTTCTACATTTAACATGACGAAAAGTTCTATAATTTCCATGCATAGACCTGTACATTTTTTTTCAAGAAAATCAGAATCAAATTCAGGTAACTGCGTTTACTTCTATTGCTATATTGTGTCAGTGACTGTCTGTTTGGTCCATTACTTTTGGGACAACTGTACTTGAAATAACTGTACTTGGTATTATTGGATCGCTGTATTATTGAATTACTGTACTTGGGCTGATTTTATTTGAAGCAAGTGTGTTTGTAATCATTGTCATTGAAATCACAATACATAGAAAAAGTTTTCGTTGGAATAATTGTATTTGAAAAAACGTTATTGACAATATTGATTTTTAAAATACTTTTTAAAAATACATTTTATCGTGAAGTATGCCTTTCTTTTAATATCTAGAATGATACAGTGCACAGTGATAACAACCAAGGACCTAGAGACTGCCCACCATGAGATGGGTCATATCCAAACCTTCATGCAGTACAAAGACCTGCCGTTCTGCTTCAGAGACGGACCCAACCATGGTGTGTGCGTATTTGTATTACATTGAATTTAACTCATTACGTCATAGGTCAGTTTGTAAAGTTAGGAATGTGCATCAAGTCCGTGAGTACCAAACTGCAGTGAACGAGACATATATATTTTAGGAACGCTCTCTCTTCATTCATGATTGTTCCTATACGCTATTTCATATGATATCTACTAAATGAAACAAATGAAATAATAACAGAAAGTAAAGACAAGATATCGACCGTAACGTTAAACAAGACATACTTCCGTGGTCAGAAACTACTCGAAAATTGTTTTCTTTTTAAATTACTAGAAAAATTATTTATATTACTGTAATCAGACCATTTCTGACATATGAAAGTGAAACTTGGGCCCTAAGAATACATGAAGAAAACATAATAAACACATGGGAGAGAACAGTTCTCGGGAAAGTGAATGGACAAATAAAAGATTAATGTGGATGGATAATCGAAATTAACCAGTAACTGTATGGTCTATAACAAATATCACGCTAGTAGCCGACAAAAGGGGCTGGCTACGCCATGCAGCACACAAAGTAAGAATGCCATGTAAGAAAGGATTTACTTTATTTTATTACTAACTTGTATCCGTTTTGTGTTGCAATGCCACTCAAAGAACGAAGGTGTTTGCGGTTTAAATATGTTTCTTGAAGAACTTTTAAATGCACAATATTTTTTGGATTTGGTGCGTACACGAATAATTCAAAAGGTTTTCCGACACGAAAGCAGACCACATACAGCTGTCCATGGGAGAAACACTTGTATCGATTATCCCTGTGCTTTGGTGATGGTCATTGCAAATGCGAGTCGCAAAGGAAATTGCAGAAGTTTGAATTTCAAAATGCATATCTCTTGGTATCATTGGGATTCTTGGACACAGTACATAAACACCTTTACATTTTCCATCAAAAGTAGTGTCTAGAGGATATTGTTAATTAGTTTTTTCCCTGAAAGCTTGGTACCGTTGGATAGTCATGGTGGATTTATGGTACGTAGATGAATGATTGACACGCTAATGTTCAGTATTAAAACATGCGACAGGATGCCTGACAAGTTAGTGAATTCAAGAATTATGTTCGATAATTGACTACGTTGTCTTGATTCAATATTATCGATGGAATTACACTTTGCTGTTTCGCCTAGTATTTCATTATGAATGCTAAAGAGAATGGCATTGACATCTTTGATTTTGGCTGTTAATATATCACGTGCATTGAGGCACTGATGATTTTTGTTACTCTTTGCGTTATTAGGGAAAACTTTGTGAATCAATTCGTCGAAAGTTGATGCGATTTAACACAAGCTTGTTGGAAATATGAAACATCGTTTGGATTCATCTGTTGCCATTTTTCCATTCCCACTGTCCAATAATTATTTTGCGAAACGTTCAGCGGACGCATCATGGTGTAGTTGTAAACGCAGATTGGTCTTGAAAGTCAATTTCTTTACGTGTCACCATAAAACTGATGATTTGATACATGCCTTTAATTTCTATCGTTACCCGTTAAACGTAGTGTCAATGGTAGAGTTTGTCAAAAAACACCAAACAAAAAAAAATACGCAGCCAAAGAGCTGTTAATTTCCTCTCATATCTTTTAGTGCACGATGAAACACATCCAATGCTTACTTGTGCGCCATTGCACATTCGTCCCATATAATGAGTTGACATGATTAGAGTACTTTAACCATTCCCGTTTTTTTATTTATATTGCATGTTTGTGTTTCAGTGCTTTGCATATTCAGCGACAATTTCAGTGCTGAATGCACTGTTCGGCCACAATCCAAAAAGTTTGCCTTTATTCCAAATGATGTTATTGCCATTTGCAATATTTTCTTTTGATCATTTGATTGCCACAATTAGTGAAATTAGCAAAGTTTTCTCTGTGCCTCCGGGATTCTTCTAGGAATTACAATCCGCCTTATTCACTTATATAAGCCTGCATAGTTCTGTCATAAACCATGCGTTGTTCTGGAAACAATTGCTGAAGATTCATTTGAACAAATGTACCCAATTCGTCAATATCAACGTGTTTTTCTCGTTGCAAATGACTATCGAAAAGGTTGATTTTGCAAATAAATTTGAAGTAGTCATTCCCAACTCTACCAATGATTTGTTAGCGATTGTAAAACATATGTCCTCAGTCGAATTATATGCCTCATTATACTTGTTTGGTGTATGTTGAATGACCAGATTTTGATTCGTTGCACGCAAATGATGTATAATGTCTTCTTTCATGTTGTCTTTGTATTTCATTCAAAGATATTTTGGAATGGATGGAAAGCACGTTGTCAATACAATTGCTAAAACGTGTGTATTTGCTATTGTTGAGCAATATTTGATGCACCAGAGAGCGTAGTGTCCCAATGTGCATCGATTTCAAAAAAGTTGTATTTCTTGGCAAACTTCACGATAAGTGGCTAATACTTGATAGTTAACTGTTCTCAATACTTAGATCAATTAAACATAAAAAATGTGTGTTAATATAACAGTATATGTTTGTCTTAAATAATATTTTTACATACCAGTAGCTTCAATCATGTGTGTTACTAGTATATAGTAATGCAGTAACTTGAATGTATAAAGTTCCATCATGGTTAGAGCTTATGAAATATTTGGAGACCCGGTAGAGAGGTTGTTTATTCAACGTACAATGATGAACAATAATTGCAAGTAAAAGCATTCTGCATTGTTTGGGTGAGCAGTGTACAGACGGCCTAATGCGTTGGTCTAATAATTTTTTTTTTTGCTAACTGTTGACACATGTTCGCTGATGCACTACATGTGTAATAAGTTGGCACTTCAGAGTAAAGAAGCGACTTTGCAAACATTAATTATTTCCTCACCATCATAAAAATGCAGTTAACTTTGTTTGAGGGGTATAGAATGCTCAGTTGAATAGTACATGCGCTGTCCAGTTCTACTGTTGCAATCTTAAATTTGCTAATGATACCACCATTGTTTGCTTAATATCTGAAAGAGAAGGGCTATACCGCAACTTAGTTACAAGCTTTATCAAATGTGCGATGCAAATTTTCTCCAGTTGAATGTCTCAAAAACAAAGGAAATTGTTGTTGATTTCATAAGGGGGAAACACCAGATTACAGATCTCAACATAAACAATCAATTGTTGAGAAATCGGAGGCATACAAGTACTAAGGTGTCAACATGATAATAAGCTAACATGGCATGAGCAAGGCCAAATTCTGTATAAGAAATTTAACCAAAGACTATGTTTGCAAAGAAATGTTTCGATTGTCTTGTGTCACATGATACCATCGTTTGGGTTTGAAATAGTTTGGGTTGTCAGTGTAATTTTGGCAATTTCACATTTCCACCCGTGCAGCACACTCCCGCTGTTTCATTCTTAAATACCTGAGCACATCAATACACGCATAATTTATCCATTATTACAAAAACCACACGTGGAAGAAGACTGTAATCATAATTAGCATACTAATGGAGGGTACTAAAATTTAATTTAACGTGCAGTGTTCATCTGAATCGAGCAGTGCGTACTCTATCGGTATCCAGTCATGCTTTGTATTGCTTGACTGTTTCAGAAGAAGAGGTTCGGCTGAGCATTTCGTACACAGGCGATTTCCATTCTTGCTTCTCGATGCTCAACTGTGTCAAATGTACGGGTTTTAGCATTGCGTACAAGAGAAGTTTCCAGTCTTGCTTCCTATTACACGACTGTTTGTGAAGCTTGTGATGACTTTTGCTTTCGTGCTGAGGTGTAGAAAGACCAAAAGCTTTTCGATTGAGTAGCATTATTGATTTGGCAGAGAAAATATTGATTTGACAGCAAAAGTATTGCTTTGTGGCGAATTTTATAAATGCATATGATATTTATTATTAGATGTCGATTGACTATTGGTAGTTTCACAACTAATACCATTTGTTAAGTCAAACACAAAATGAAATGGCATTGTTTGTATTTGATTCAATTAAATTTATTTACGATATTCCTAACGTTAATAACATTCTTATGTTAGGATCGTTCATTTTTTTCACACAAAAACTGCCCAAAATAAGTACGTTTATTGAGAGCAGTACAATTCCAGTTGTTTTAGGGTTACATTACCTTATAAATCAAAAGTTTCATTTTTTAAATCTATAAATTACCATAATTCAATACCTTCGTTGTCTAAAAGGTAATTTAATTACTTAATAAACCATCGATTTATGTCAAATATCTTTTTATAAAACAAAAAAGCTCCAAAATGCCAAAACTCCATTATAGAATTACCCAATCTTTACTATTCAAAACCATAACAAGTTCACAACATCAGAATATATTAAAAACTACGACACAAAATTTAGATTTTTTTTTAAAGAAACAACAATAGTACTCTCTACTTTAAACATGCAGGAAGATTTTGTCCCTGCTCTTACTAAAAATTTGCAGTCAGTTGGCTTTCGTTCAAGGTTGATTCTGAAAAAAATCGAATTTCGTTGATTTGATAGCTCTGTTAGAAATTATATTGATGAAGATCATTTAAAACACCAAACGAATTTAAGGCCCGCGGCCGAAAAAAATATTGTAAAATGTTTGCATTAATTCATTAATCTACTTATTATGTAACACAGAAACTGAAATGTAGTTATTTATATATGATTTAATTCCATCCACCCATTCAATAACTCTGTTTGAAAAACATATTTTCTATCTCAAATAAGAAAAAAGATGGAGTTTAGGGCTTCCGGCATCAAACCGAAAATAGCAAAAAATGGTTTTAAGTTTTAAATCTTTTCGGGTGCGTGAACAACGACTCACCAACTTCTCATCGTAATTGGATGGATGGTGAAGGAACGCAAATGAAAATTTTATTTTTAAAGCACCAATATAGTCAATACAAAATAAATTTGACCCTCTCCCCCCACACCCTCCTGGTTAATAAACGGAATATTGAACAATGGTGGTACTAATGCATTCCTACTTACTCTTTAACATACAAACGGAATGTCGCTCTTTGTATTGAATGAAATTCAATCCTCTACCTATGCAATAGCTCTGTTTGAATTTATTATATTTATTTAGCTCATTTAAGAAAAAACAAATTTAGGGCCCTTGGCCAAAAACGGAATGTTATAAAATAACTGTTTAATTTAGACACTTTTGCGGACATGCGCACATTAATTCGCCAGAGTTTTATCGCACTCGGATAAATGGTATAGGAATATATACGATTATTATATTGATGATATGAGAAGAAAAAAAATAATTTAGGGCGCCCGAAAACAAACCGAATGTTGTAGAATGGCTGTATTCAATCAGCAGCCTATTCATTATGCACACACAAAATTTGATGTCGCTATTTGAATATGATTAAAATTCTATCCACCCATGCATTAGCTCTGTTTTAAATTGTATTTGTATAGCCCTTTAAAGAAAAAATGAATTTAGGTCCCCCAACTCAAAATGAAATAATTTAAAAGGGTTGTATTAATTCAAAACGCTTTCGAGCGTGATCAGAACAACTTACCAAAGTTTTATCGCAATCGGATAAAAAGTATAAGAGCGCATACAGTAATTAGTTTCTTATATCTCTAATGACAAACAAAGGAATTTGGAGCTAACCGCCAGAAACGCAATATTTTACAGGGGTCGTTATGACTTACAGGACTAACATACATTCAAACATATGTACATATATGGCATGCATGCATGAATAAATAGATACAATCATATATATATATATATATATATATATATATATACATCTATACTTATAAACATACACACATAGACACATAAACACACACAGACGCACATACACTCATAGACGCTAACACAGACAGATACACACACATACATACATACATACATACATACATACATACAAACATATATACATACATACATACATGCATACATGCATACATGCATACATGCATACATGCATACATGCATACATGCATACATGCATATATGCATGCATACATACATACGCGCATGCATACATACATACATAAACATAAATACATACAAACATACACACATACATACATACACACATACATATAGATATACAATTATTTTTATATAGAGAGATGAAAGAGACTGAACTGAAGTAGTTTCCATCGTTACGAATGTAATGGTAAACATTAAATCATATTTGATTTGATTCTTAAATAGGATTCCACGAAGCGATCGGTGACGTCATCGCCCTTTCAGTGCGAACACCAGAACACATGCACTCAATAGGTCTGATACCAATTGTATGTAACGATACGGGTAAGTGGGATATAAATAATGGTTAAAGTCTTTGTAACAGACAAAATGAAAGTTTAGCCGTAGACATTCTGTTTTTAAACCACTTGTGCTTAAAATGTATTATTGTTAGTGAAAACAAGACATTCAAGTCACAAATTTCAATCAATACACACAGCAATAATTATTTTCAGGCTTTCATAATGCTAGTGACTTCTGATGTGTCTTAGTTTCGTCTGTGTCTTAAAGCCATTCCTCTTCAGTTGTCTAAGTGTGAGAAGAAGGAATACATGCATTTACCTTCCAACATGCTTATCCCCCTTCTGCTGACCATTTTTATGGACACCCTGTAAACAAAATAGAATACCAAACTTAACTATGTTTGTTTCTCTTTATGGACCCCTGTAAACAATAGAAGCTAACCAACTTAATAAAGTTTGTCCCTCTTTATCGACACCCTTTACACAATAGAAGCTACAAAACTTAACAATGTTCGTCCCTCTTTATAGACCCCTGTAAACAATAGTAGCTGCGAAATTTAACTATGTCTTACCCGTTTTATGGACCCCTGTAAACAACAGAAGCTAATTTTTTCCCTCTTTATGGACCGCCCCCCCCCCCTTGGAAAAATTAGAAATTGCCTAACTTAACTAGGTTTGCGATTTGGCCCTCAGTGTTAAGAAAATATCCATACTTAATGTCCAAAATATTTTCGACAACGGTAAAAAAAAGCATTATAACACATGTTTCGTATTCTAGAATGTGACATCAATTTCCTGATGAGCATGGCCCTTAAAATCGCTACACTTCCCTTTGTTTATCTGATCGATCAATGGCGCTGGAAAGTGTTTACAGGTGAAACAACACCTGAAAAGTACAATGAGCACTGGTGGAACCTCAGGTATCAAGTAAAACTATTGGCATTTTATTCTAGGAAATGATTTTACAAATTCAACAAATACAAATTTGATATAAAACGGGAAAATGAAAACGTATTTTAAGGTCGAGTTAATTTTAAGTTTAATGGATTTTATAGTAATACATAATATCCTACAGTCTTATTGTGCCTGTCTCCAGATGTAGGTATCAAGGCATATCGTCACCTGTACCTCTCAATTCTTCTGACTTTGACCCAGGGACTATTTACCATATAGCTGCCAATGTGCCTTCTATCAGGTAAACAATATCATTGTTGTTTTTTTTCTTATGCCCATAGCGTCTCAGCATTTCTGCCGTTACGTAATACATGTTCCAAGACCTGGATTGCATGTTAGACTTAAATAATTGTTGAACATTGTTTATTTTGCTTCACGTGAATAAACTCAATCTTCTAAAAATATTGCAATAACGACCCAACCAAAAATATTCATAGATTTAAAAAAAAATATATATATACACGTGTTTATTAACTATTATAACATTGTTCTATACGCCTCTGTTTGTGACCTTCTGTTCTTTCAAAAATAAAAATATTTCCCAGGTATTTTGTGAGTATTATCATCCAGTTCCAATTCCATAAAGCTTTATGTGACGAAGCTGGCTATAGAGGTCCACTTCACAGATGTGATATCTACAACAGTAAATCCGCAGGAACTTTATTGAGGTAGTCGATTA